AATGTGACAAATAAAAAGCACGGAAAATAACATGCAAATAAAAACAAATAACAAATTTTGTTGAAATTTGTAAAAAAAGTTTTATTTTATTTTCTAAACACGTAAATCTATTTTTTTAATTATAATACATATAAACACATAATATATACTTTTCGTAATCTCTTTCTCTGATAAAATTACAAATGATAAAGAAATAAGAGATAAAAAAATATGGCCGAGGTTAATACATACATACATACATACATACATACATACATACATACTTACATACATACACACCTACACACCTACACACGTACACACGTACACACGTACACACACGTACACCCACGTACACACACGTACACACACGTATATACACGTACACACACGTACACACACGTACACACACGTACACACACGTACACACACGTACACACACGTACACACACGTACACACACGTACACACACGTACACACACGTACACACACGTACACACACGTACACACACGTACACACACGTACACACACGTACACACACGTACACACACGTACACACACGTACACACACGTACACACACGTACACACACGTACACACACGTACACACACGTACACACACGTACACACACGTACACACACGTACACACACGTACACACACGTACACACACGTACACACACGTACACACACGTACACACACGTACACACACGTACACACACGTACACACACGTACACACACGTACACACACGTACACACACGTACACACACGTACACACACGTACACACACGTACACACACGTACACACACGTACACACACGTACACACACGTACACACACGTACACACACGTACACACACGTACACACACGTACACACACGTACACACACGTACACACACGTACACACACGTACACACACGTACACACACGTACACACACGTACACACACGTACACACACGTACACACACGTACACACACGTACACACACGTACACACACGTACACACACGTACACACACGTACACACACGTACACACACGTACACACACGTACACACACGTACACACACGTACACACACGTACACACACGTACACACACGTACACACACGTACACACACGTACACACACGTACACACACGTACACACACGTACACACACGTACACACACGTACACACACGTACACACACGTACACACACGTACACACACGTACACACACGTACACACACGTACACACACGTACACACACGTACACACACGTACACACACGTACACACACGTACACACACGTACACACACGTACACACACGTACACACACGTACACACACGTACACACACGTACACACACGTACACACACGTACACACACGTACACACACGTACACACACGTACACACACGTACACACACGTACACACACGTACACACACGTACACACACGTACACACACGTACACACACGTACACACACGTACACACACGTACACACACGTACACACACGTACACACACGTACACACACGTACACACACGTACACACACGTACACACACGTACACACACGTACACACACGTACACACACGTACACACACGTACACACACGTACACACACGTACACACACGTACACACACGTACACACACGTACACACACGTACACACACGTACACACACGTACACACACGTACACACACGTACACACACGTACACACACGTACACACACGTACACACACGTACACACACGTACACACACGTACACACACGTACACACACGTACACACACGTACACACACGTACACACACGTACACACACGTACACACACGTACACACACGTACACACACGTACACACACGTACACACACGTACACACACGTACACACACGTACACACACGTACACACACGTACACACACGTACACACACGTACACACACGTACACACACGTACACACACGTACACACACGTACACACACGTACACACACGTACACACACGTACACACACGTACACACACGTACACACACGTACACACACGTACACACACGTACACACACGTACACACACGTACACACACGTACACACACGTACACACACGTACACACACGTACACACACGTACACACACGTACACACACGTACACACACGTACACACACGTACACACACGTACACACACGTACACACACGTACACACACGTACACACACGTACACACACGTACACACACGTACACACACGTACACACACGTACACACACGTACACACACGTACACACACGTACACACACGTACACACACGTACACACACGTACACACACGTACACACACGTACACACACGTACACACACGTACACACACGTACACACACGTACACACACGTACACACACGTACACACACGTACACACACGTACACACACGTACACACACGTACACACACGTACACACACGTACACACACGTACACACACGTACACACACGTACACACACGTACACACACGTACACACACGTACACACACGTACACACACGTACACACACGTACACACACGTACACACACGTACACACACGTACACACACGTACACACACGTACACACACGTACACACACGTACACACACGTACACACACGTACACACACGTACACACACGTACACACACGTACACACACGTACACACACGTACACACACGTACACACACGTACACACACGTACACACACGTACACACACGTACACACACGTACACACACGTACACACACGTACACACACGTACACACACGTACACACACGTACACACACGTACACACACGTACACACACGTACACACACGTACACACACGTACACACACGTACACACACGTACACACACGTACACACACGTACACACACGTACACACACGTACACACACGTACACACACGTACACACACGTACACACACGTACACACACGTACACACACGTACACACACGTACACACACGTACACACACGTACACACACGTACANCCGACCGACCGACAGACCGACAGACCGACACACCGACAGACCGACTGCCAGACACACAGACACACAGACACACAGACATACAGACACACAGACAGACAGATAGACTTGGGTAAGCAGCTGCCCGACGGTCGTAGTATTAGGGTATAGAAATTTGGTCACAGGATGGAGAGCTAATAGAAAACAAAACAGAAAAAGTACATATTTCTGGTAAAAATAGGTTTTTGTTTAGTGCAAGTTTGGACCGTTTTGTGTTTTTGCATATATATTTTGGTGTCAGGTGCTTGTTGCACATGTACAAAGTAATAGTCATCTTAATCAGTTATACGAAAAAAATTGTCCGCTGAACTTTTTGAGGTGTATAAGTGCTCAGTGGACCAGTTGAAAGTGCAGCACATCGCTATGCGCGCGGGCGTATTGCATCTTTAACTTTATCAGCTGAGCACTTTTCAATCACTAAATATAAAGCTGAGCATTTTTCTCATTTAACTTATTAAGTTATATATTGTATTACCAAATTTCAGCTTTTGCGGTAGGAGATATCTATTATTTTTTTATTTTTCAAGTCTTACTAGTAATTATATAAAAATATACAACATTTTTCGAATATTTATTTACAATAAACGATTTCACGAGTTTTTCAATTTAATGAGCTTTAATAAATAAATATTCACATTTAAATACTTATATACATAACATAACATTGAACTGCATCAACATTTGCTGCGGACAAAATACATTGCAAATATTTAGGTATACGCTCATCTTCAGAGGTCCCAACAGAATTATATTCGACTGATTTCGGCTGGGAAGAGAAGGGGGATAAATTTATTTTCAAATGGTTCCAGAGTGAACAGCTGCCCTCTTCCCTTGGAGATATATTTAATTATCGAGGATGAGAAAAAAAATAGTGCAGGTTAGAATTATATTTCGCTCTATAGGTACTAAAATTTCATTATTTAAGTGTAAATTTTTTATTATTTCATTTACATATTATGAAAAATGCAATTTAAAAATTGTGATGTACTTTCGAGGTTCGGTCTCAGACGCTGAACTAGTACAGTCACAGTCCGGGTTCACTCGGTGGAGAAGTGTTTTCCAAGGTTCGGGAATATTACAAGACTTGGTATCAATAAAACTTTTATTTTCCAAAATAAATCGCAGTCTATAAACACATATAATATTAACAATAATACCCTACCCATATGAATAACAAAAACATCAGGATACCTATTGTCACGAAGGCAATACGGATGTCCTGACGGTGACAACGCCGAGTGTCGCGGAAAGACCTGCTAAACACCCGGAGTCGGCCGCGAGGTAGACGTCAGGTACCGCGGAAAGACCTGCTAAGTACCCGGAGTCGGAGTCCAGGTGTGTACCTTACCTTGAGCGCCGCGGAAGAGACCTGCTAAACGCTCTGGTTAGGACACCCAGAGGAGGGTTGAGTGCCGTGGAAAGACCTACTAAGCACTGCCTGGTGTAGGTGACTCCGTTGCTTTTATACAGAACGGCTGGTAGTGCCGTGTGCAACTTCAGCCGTTGAAACGGCGACTTCGTGGGCCGTGTGCAAAATCGCGGTGCGCCAAACAATTATAATACAGCGGGAGCAAAATAAAATAAGTTCATTACTAAAATATAAATGAAATCCCGAAAATAAAAAAAAGGTTCATTACATCCCCCCCTCTCTTCGTAAAAAAAATNCGTCGTCGTCGTCGTCGTCGTCGTCGTCGTCGTCGTCGTCGTCGTCGTCGTCGTCGTCGTCGTCGTCGTCGTCGTCGTCGTCGTCGTCGTCGTCGTCGTCGTCGTCGTCGTCGTCGTCGTCGTCGTCGTCGTCGTCGTCGTCGTCGTCGTCGTCGTCGTCGTCGTCGTCGTCGTCGTCGTCGTCGTCGTCGTCGTCGTCGTCGTCGTCGTCGTCGTCGTCGTCGTCGTCGTCGTCGTCGTCGTCGTCGTCGTCGTCGTCGTCGTCGTCGTCGTCGTCGTCGTCGTCGTCGTCGTCGTCGTCGTCGTCGTCGTCGTCGTCGTCGTCGTCGTCGTCGTCGTCGTCGTCGTCGTCGTCGTCGTCGTCGTCGTCGTCGTCGTCGTCGTCGTCGTCGTCGTCGTCGTCGTCGTCGTCGTCGTCGTCGTCGTCGTCGTCGTCGTCGTCGTCGTCGTCGTCGTCGTCGTCGTCGTCGTCGTCGTCGTCGTCGTCGTCGTCGTCGTCGTCGTCGTCGTCGTCGTCGTCGTCGTCGTCGTCGTCGTCGTCGTCGTCGTCGTCGTCGTCGTCGTCGTCGTCGTCGTCGTCGTCGTCGTCGTCGTCGTCGTCGTCGTCGTCGTCGTCGTCGTCGTCGTCGTCGTCGTCGTCGTCGTCGTCGTCGTCGTCGTCGTCGTCGTCGTCGTCGTCGTCGTCGTCGTCGTCGTCGTCGTCGTCGTCGTCGTCGTCGTCGTCGTCGTCGTCGTCGTCGTCGTCGTCGTCGTCGTCGTCGTCGTCGTCGTCGTCGTCGTCGTCGTCGTCGTCGTCGTCGTCGTCGTCGTCGTCGTCGTCGTCGTCGTCGTCGTCGTCGTCGTCGTCGTCGTCGTCGTCGTCGTCGTCGTCGTCGTCGTCGTCGTCGTCGTCGTCGTCGTCGTCGTCGTCGTCGTCGTCGTCGTCGTCGTCGTCGTCGTCGTCGTCGTCGTCGTCGTCGTCGTCGTCGTCGTCGTCGTCGTCGTCGTCGTCGTCGTCGTCGTCGTCGTCGTCGTCGTCGTCGTCGTCGTCGTCGTCGTCGTCGTCGTCGTCGTCGTCGTCGTCGTCGTCGTCGTCGTCGTCGTCGTCGTCGTCGTCGTCGTCGTCGTCGTCGTCGTCGTCGTCGTCGTCGTCGTCGTCGTCGTCGTCGTCGTCGTCGTCGTCGTCGTCGTCGTCGTCGTCGTCGTCGTCGTCGTCGTCGTCGTCGTCGTCGTCGTCGTCGTCGTCGTCGTCGTCGTCGTCGTCGTCGTCGTCGTCGTCGTCGTCGTCGTCGTCGTCGTCGTCGTCGTCGTCGTCGTCGTCGTCGTCGTCGTCGTCGTCGTCGTCGTCGTCGTCGTCGTCGTCGTCGTCGTCGTCGTCGTCGTCGTCGTCGTCGTCGTCGTCGTCGTCGTCGTCGTCGTCGTCGTCGTCGTCGTCGTCGTCGTCGTCGTCGTCGTCGTCGTCGTCGTCGTCGTCGTCGTCGTCGTCGTCGTCGTCGTCGTCGTCGTCGTCGTCGTCGTCGTCGTCGTCGTCGTCGTCGTCGTCGTCGTCGTCGTCGTCGTCGTCGTCGTCGTCGTCGTCGTCGTCGTCGTCGTCGTCGTCGTCGTCGTCGTCGTCGTCGTCGTCGTCGTCGTCGTCGTCGTCGTCGTCGTCGTCGTCGTCGTCGTCGTCGTCGTCGTCGTCGTCGTCGTCGTCGTCGTCGTCGTCGTCGTCGTCGTCGTCGTCGTCGTCGTCGTCGTCGTCGTCGTCGTCGTCGTCGTCGTCGTCGTCGTCGTCGTCGTCGTCGTCGTCGTCGTCGTCGTCGTCGTCGTCGTCGTCGTCGTCGTCGTCGTCGTCGTCGTCGTCGTCGTCGTCGTCGTCGTCGTCGTCGTCGTCGTCGTCGTCGTCGTCGTCGTCGTCGTCGTCGTCGTCGTCGTCGTCGTCGTCGTCGTCGTCGTCGTCGTCGTCGTCGTCGTCGTCGTCGTCGTCGTCGTCGTCGTCGTCGTCGTCGTCGTCGTCGTCGTCGTCGTCGTCGTCGTCGTCGTCGTCGTCGTCGTCGTCGTCGTCGTCGTCGTCGTCGTCGTCGTCGTCGTCGTCGTCGTCGTCGTCGTCGTCGTCGTCGTCGTCGTCGTCGTCGTCGTCGTCGTCGTCGTCGTCGTCGTCGTCGTCGTCGTCGTCGTCGTCGTCGTCGTCGTCGTCGTCGTCGTCGTCGTCGTCGTCGTCGTCGTCGTCGTCGTCGTCGTCGTCGTCGTCGTCGTCGTCGTCGTCGTCGTCGTCGTCGTCGTCGTCGTCGTCGTCGTCGTCGTCGTCGTCGTCGTCGTCGTCGTCGTCGTCGTCGTCGTCGTCGTCGTCGTCGTCGTCGTCGTCGTCGTCGTCGTCCTCGTCGTCGTCGTCGTCCTCATCGTCACCGTCACCGTCACCCCCACCCCCACCGTCACCCCCAACCCCACCGTCACCACCACCCCCACCGTCACCACTACCACCGTCACCACCACCACCACCGTCACCGTCGCCGCCACCGCCACCGTCACCGTCACCGTCACCGCCACCGTCACCGCCACCGCCATCACCACCACCATCACCATCAGCATCGCCATCGCCATCGCCATCAGCATCAGCATCAGCATCAGCATCAGCATCAGCATCAGCATCAGCATCAGCATCAGCATCAGCATCAGCATCAGCATCA